TCAATGATCTTTTTAATTAAATTTTTTGTTTTGAGATCATGTAGATTTACATGCCATTGTGTGCCTTTCATCCAGTTTCCCCCAATGGTAAAGTTTATGGAACTAAAGTACAATGTCACCAACACGGTATCAACATTGACACAATCCACAGGTCATATTCAGATTTATCCAGTTTTACTTGTACTCTTGAGTGTGTGTTTAGTTCTATACAGTTTTCACATGTCCAGGTTCATATTCAGCTTTCAACTATCACAGGTACTGAATGGTTCCAAACCTTCTGTTGCCCTTTTACAAATCCTTAACTCCTGACAACCACCAATCATTTCTCCATTTTCATAATTTTGTCATTTCAAGAATGTTATATAAATGGAAACATATAATACAGAACTTTTGAGATTGCTTTTCTTACTCAACATAGCTCTTTAGCAATTCTTCAAAAGTGTTGCTTGTTACCTAATGGTTTTAACATATGAATTTGTATTCCTAAGCAAGATATTTTCTACTTTGATCTGTTTTTAAAAATATTTGAGTCTCATAGTATAATTCTTCTTAACTTGATTTTATTCATACAACAGTAGTTTTTGAAGTTTACTTTTGTTAATGTGAGCAGTGTGGCCATTTATTTTCACTGCATGAATTTAACCAATATATTAATCCAGTCAATGATTGATGGATATTTGGGTTGTGTTTGGGTTTTTATTTTTTTCATCATGATGAATGATGTTACTTACAAATATTTTTGGTGACTCCTGGTGCAAAAGCTCAAGACTTTTCTAGATTAAAAAAATGGAGTGGAATTTCTGGCTTATACAATATGTGTATGTTCACTTTTATTAGAGAAAGTCAAACTCCCAAAATGTTTGAATCAATCTACCCATTAGCAATATCTCATTGATCCATATCCTCTTCAACACTTAGTGTTGTTAGACTTTTTAATTTTGACAGTCTGGTAAACATGAAATAGCATTTCATTGTCATTTCAATTTGCATTTTCCTGTTTACCAATAAGATTGGGCATCTTTTCATATGTTGATGGATTTATTCATGTTTTCTCTTCTGGGAAATGCCTGTTCAGGTCTTTTTGCCATTTTTCTATTGAGTTTGTCTATTTCTTCTTCATAAGAGTTCTTTATGTAATCTGGATTCTAATCATTTATAAGATAAATGTGTTGCAAAAAGTTCTCTCAATTTGTGGCTTAATTTATTATTCTCCTAATTTTGTCTTTGGATAAGCAGTCATTCTTAACTTTTCTGCAGATTTACAAAATATTTTCTTTTAAGGTTTGTTTTTCATGTCTTAAGAAATTCTGTTCTAGTCTGTGGTCATAAAGATATTCTACATTATCGAGCTATAGGTATACACGTACATATTTGAACGCTTAACCCACCAGAAGTTGATTATGTGTGTGTACATTATTCACTTTCCTTTATTTTTCCCCAAATGGATAGCCAGTTGTTCGAATTCCACATAGTGAAGAGCATATTTTTCGCCACTAGTTTGCAGTGCTCTCTCATGAATCAGAAGTTCACACATGTGTGGGTCTATTTCTGGGCTCTCTATTCTCTGCTGCAGGTCTGTCTGTGCACCAATGCTGCACTATTTTAATTACTATTGCTACCTGATATAGTGAATCTATACACTTTGTTCTTATTCAAGAGTGTTTATTCTTTCATATAAATTTTAGAACAGGTTTGTCACTTCCTACACAAAGATCTTTTTTCAAGTATTTTAAAGAACTATTAAATCTACAGATGAATTTGAGGGAGTTTTGACCTCTTTTTCATTTGGAGCCTTCTAACCCATTAGTATGGTGACTCTTCCCACTGGTTAATGTCTTCCAATAAAATATTTTCTAGTTTTATCCACAGAAAGCTTGCACAACATCTAAAAAAAAATTTCAGGACACTTTATATTTTAGTTGCAAGTCATTTCTTTCATTAGACTTAATTTTTTGAATTGTTACTGATGTTTAGAAATGCAACTGACACACACGCACATAGATTTTTCCATAAAACACCCTTGCTTAACTCTTATTAATTCTAATAATTTATCTGTAGATTCTTTTGAGTTTTCTACATTGACAATCATACTGACTACTAATACTGATAGTTTTTTTCTTTCTCTCATAATCCCCTTATTTTTTCTTTTTTGTCTTACTATGCCTGCAAGGAAGCTGGTCTAGTGGTAAATGGAGTGTTGAGAGCAGGTAGCTTTGTCTTATTGCAGGCTGCTGGCTCCATTAAGTGAATTCAGTTTGTGAAAATTTATCAAACTGCGTACTTTGAATTCTGCATTTTTGCTAACACTATGTTATACTTGAATGAAAAGTAAAAAAATAAAATAAAGTTTTAGGACCATTTCTACAACATCCTAAACCTTTCTTTATAACTGTCTGTTCTAAGGATGCCAGGGAGTAGGTTTGTGCTTGTCCATTTTCAACCTGACTATACATTACTAGAGAAAGACAGTGAGAGTACAGATGGCTGCTTTCATGCATTTGAAGAACTGGGGTGTGGGGGCAGTGCAAGCATAGTTTGGCTGGTCAGTGGGGTGGGGAGGCGAGCATGGAATGGGGATGGGAGAGGGCAATGCAGGGAAACAGACTTCCCTAAAGCCTAAGCCTTCTAACATTATTGTCTAACCAAAAAAATAGACTGCTTTTTGAAAAAGTGAGTTCCCCAGCACTGGAAGTATTCAAGCAAGGCTGGATACACACGTACCAAAGACACTATGCAGAGCCACCCCTCCTCCCATATTGGATGGGGTGTGGACCATCTCATGTCTTCTGCTTTGAGATTTTTAAAGAATTAGGGCCATTTCTTATCCTACTTTTAGGAGATGCTCTATTAAACCCTCTCATAAGACTTAGAAAACTGACCTTGCAGAACACAAAACTGTTATTTGAAAATATTATATTGATAAAACCTTCTCAATATTATTAGAGATAATAATGGTCAAGAAAAAAGAGGGAGAAAAAAAAGAGAGGGAGAAAGATAACACATTGGAATTGTTTTCTCCCCAAGAAATATCCAGCAAATATCATAATAGGTGTGCATTCAGCAACTGCTGAATAAAAGTGTAGTTCTTCCTGTTACTTTTCATCCTCAATCCCATAAATGTTGCATTGCTTCTGGAGTTTTTTAGCTTTATATCCCATTCTTCTATAATCTTTCCAAATTATTGTTAGAGAGGTTCAGGCACTCATTGCTCTGAAATCCAGTAAAAGTCACAGACACAAAAAAGCTGTTAGTGGGATTGACTGCCTTTTTGGTAAAATAAAGGACTTTGAACAAAATGAAGTTTTTAAAGTTTTTATGAGGGAGAATAATTTTGTGATTTCATTCAGTCAAACTGCATTCTAGCAAATATCCAGTTTGTTGGCAGACAAAATACATTCGCTGCGTCTCCCATCTGCCTGCAAGATTAAAAAGAAGCCTCGTTTCCTTGAGCTGCTATAGAAATGTCTTCCTTCTCCACCCCCGGCTCACTGGGATCAAAGTCTTTCTTGCTTATTCTCAGAGAAAATCTGGAGTGCAGAAAGGGTTGAGCCAAGAGAGGGTGGGCCCTTGAGGGTAGACCCTGAGGCAGGGCGCTCTGTTCCCTCCCAAGACCCAGGAGAGCTGCGACCCCTCTCCGTGCGCGAGTGAGTATTCCAGCCAAGCCGAGAAATCCGTTACCAGGCTGCTGTCCCCAAGGGCCATTCCAGGGCGGAAGAGGACCGGGAAAACCGCTGTGATGATTCCCCGGCCCTGTGGGCCGGGCGGGCTGCGGATCAGGTTACAGACAGGTGAGTCTGGCGGATGGGCGAGCTGCGGGCGTCAGGGAAGCCCTGGCCAGATGCGCCCCCACATCCCCCGGAGCTGGCACACGTCTTATCACCCACTGGAGGGTTCGCCCACCGCAGCCGTGGAAGCAGTGCTATGCGTCCCCGGGCGTACCAGAGCAGGGGCCGTGGGAGGGGCAGCACGCCCCGCATTGTGGTTACTGCTGCTCTTAGAAACTTGGCGTGTTTCTCTTACCAACTCCCCTCCCTTCCTTCCCTTCCAGGTATAAAGGTAGATGAGAGAAACCAAAACCAAAAATAAACATAAAGCTCTTCAGTCATCCCAAGTAGGGGCAGTAAGGGGATGTACCCTTATTTACTTTATTGGGAAAGATACTTCCCAGTATCAGAATTTGGGGATTTTACTTTCATTCAGCCAAACTGCATTCTAGCAAATCTCCAGAATTTGGGGAGCGGGCGGTTAGGGCAGGCAATGGGAGTGGGATAGGATAGGAAATTTTTATCAAAGCTGCGTTTGCATAACATTCGCTTGGCTTTTGTTTCCATTGTGCGTTCAATTAGGGTGAGAGGGCTGTTGTGGGTGTAAGGTCTTGGGGCAGAGGGTGGTTTGGTGGAGCCAGCCGACTTTTTTTAGACTGTACGGCGTGAATCAGTAATAACAGTGTGTGCTAAAGACGCAGAATTAAAAAATTTATTACTACTGTGTTTATTTGGGGTACTGGTGTAGATGATGGGGAGCTTAAGCCCCCAAGTTTCCGCTTTACCAAATCTGAGTCAGGGGAGTCTTCCCGCTACCTCCTTCCTTCCTCCCTCCAAGATTTCGACAAGCCCGGGAACGATCCACCAAGTCCAGAGGAACTGAGCCATTTTCTGACTTGCTCATCGGAGACAAATACGTTCGGGGGATGGGGTGGGGGCAACTCGTAAAAAGCCTCAAATTTGGGGAGCGATGCTTTTTGGTAAACCTGGAGTTTACCTCAAAGAGTTCGCTTTAAGGTCCCTGTGATGGGGAATGAGGCGGCGGGTTGATTTAAAAGCGTCCTTCCTTTTTTAAAAAGGGGAGGGGGGAAGAATCAGACGTTAAATTCTTTTGCACACATTCATGCCTAAGGAAGGGCTGGAACAGGCAGCCCCGGCCGCCGAAACCGGTCGGACAGGTAGCGAGCTTGTTGACACCGTTATGTTGCAGGGCGCATGCTCACTCCCAAGTTTCCTGGTGCCTTTTCTATTCCACCTTATGAAACTTTTTCCTCGGCGTGGTCTCACCCGCGATTTAAGGCATAGGTGTCGCCAAGCCGGGAGGCTGGGAGTCGCGGGCGTGCGGGGCAGAGGCCCGGGCCGCGCCGCGGCGGGGGGCGGAGGGAGAGGGCAGGTTAGGCGGGAAGGTGGGCTGCGGCCGCCGGGAGCCGGGGACCGAGCCGCCGCCGCCGCCCCTAGCGGAGAGCAGCAAGGAGGAGGGGGCCGCAGCCTGGGGAGGGGGGCCCCATCATGCCCAAAGTCTTCCTGGTGAAGAGGAGGACCCCGGGGGTCTCCGTCCGCAGCTGGGATGAGCTCCCGGATGAGAAAAGGGCAGACACCTACATCCCAGGTGAGCGCCGCTCGGGGCCGGGCCTGGGCGTGGGGTTCCGGGGTGGGGGCGGGGGCGGCCGGGTCCGCTTGGTTTCTCGGCCCGGGCTGGGCTCCCCACCACAGACCCCCTCTTGGGGGGTTGGGAGGGAGGTCAGTGAGGCGCGGAAAGACCGAGAGCGAGAGGCTGGGAAAGCCAGACGCTCTGCGCCCCCTTCCCCCTAGTGGGCGCCTCTAATTGCCCGGCGGCCGGACCGTTGGCTGCTGCGCTGGCCGAGGTGACTCAAGAGGGAAATTTGAAGGCAGTAAGGGCTCCCCCCAATCCCACATCCTCCTGGGGTTACACGAGGATTCGTCAACTCCCCTGGGGCTAGATGGGTGAGGGTCAGATCCTTCCTCCGATTCCCAGGGAAAGGAAACTTGGCGCACCGGGTTCCCAGCAGCGCGAGGCCCTGATTCCCTCGTGGGCGCGGGTACTGGGACGGAGACGCTGCCCTCAAGCCCCAACCTCGCTCAGGGGGCCGAGCCGGGGGCACTCTCGTCCACCCCCTTGAGGTGCCACTTGGCGAAGTGCCCAGGTCCGGGGCGGGGCGGCGGCGGGGCGGCGGCGGCGGCACCGCCCGCAGGTCAAACTGCTGCGGGCGCCCGGGCCTGCCTGACGCCGCGTGTCTGTTCGGGGCGCGGCCCCTCCCTCAGTGGGCCTCGGCCGCCTGCTGCACGACCCCCCAGAGGACTGCCGCAGCGACGGGGGCAGCAGTAGCGCGGGGGAGCCTGGAAGCGCCGAGAGCAGCGTGTCCCCGCGCGCCCCGGAGCACGGAACCCCGGAGCCCGGTGACGCCGAGGGCTCGGGTGGACACCTGGAGGCGATACAGCGACCCGTTGCCAGGTCGAAAATCAAGGTATGGTGTCGACTCTGCCCCCGCCGCCACCTGCACCACGCCCTGGCGTCGGGCTCGCGGGGCTAGCGCTGCTCCCTTGCCGCGCCCGCCGCGCACCCGGGCACCCGTGCACCGAGCGCGCCCGCCGCGCCGCTCTTGCACCTGCCTCTGGGCCGCGGCCAGGATGCCTCAGCGCGCCCTCCCGCCTGCTGGGTAGCCAGCCGCCCGCGGCCCTGCGCCCCGGGGGCCAGCTCCCCGAGTCGCCAGTGTACCCGAATGGGTTCTGGAGCTGCTTGGAAGGCTCAGACTCCTCTTCTTCCCTCCACCAGCCCACTCGGTGCGCAGGGTCTGAAAAATAACTAGGCCGTCGGGGTTTCCAGGGTCGGATAAGAGAGATCCAGGCTCTCAGGAATTTCAACCTCTGGGGTTGTTTGAATTCTGAGTCTCACACCCCTTCCCATGCGTTCTGGAGACAGTGGTGTCAGTTGAACACACTGGACCTCTCACAGTGCCCGTTAGACACGAGGTCGGTGCTGGGCACTTTAAATTTGTCATGGCCCTCAAATCTTGCATTAAATTAATGGGTAAAAGGGTTCCTTACAGACTGACTTAGGGTCCTGCCCCCTGTGGGTTGGAGTATTTGTTCTCCTCTGTTATCGCTCTTCAGCCACCAACTCCCCACCCAACCCAGTCTTCTGGAATTGTAGGTGACATCAATACGACGCGCATCTGGCTTTTAGAACATCCATGATTATTTGCTCAAGGATATCTGATAACCTCCAAAATTAAGGAATCCTATTCCACTGGCTCACAGCCAGCTGGAGCCAGGGAGTGGTGTTATAGGTGGGCCGCGGTACGACCCTTTGGAGGCTTCCGGCACTGGATGTAGGCGGTATTTCTTGGGCGGTCCCGACCCTGGCTGGAGTGAAGGGATTGGGGGAGGAGCCCTAGCGTTTGCCCTGGATTGGGAGAGACTAGGTTACTTTTTCTGGAAGAGGCCACCCCTCCCCTATGCATATTCCTGGCTCCTGGGGTTTGCCTGGGGGAGGGCTGGGGAGCATTTGGTTAAGAATTGAGGCTAGCAGTTTGAGCTAGAATCCTTTAGGAAAGATACCTTTAAAAGGATGCTGCCGACTAAGTGCAGGCCTGCCACTTGGTCTTCAGTGGGCTGCTGAGGTTCAACGTCAGCTGGCCAGAAGCATGGGGTTAAGTGGGAGGGGACAGTTTGCCGGAGGCTGGTAGCTCTGCCCTCCAGGAAATTCTACAAAGTGCCCCACTTGCATATTTATCACTGGGCTGGAAGGACAATTGCAACGTTGTTTGGGGACTGACTGCAGCTAATTTGCCCCGCTGTCCCCCAGTTGCCCAGATTATCCTGGGAAAAAAGTGGCAAAGGAGGAAGATCTAGTCCCTTAACTAATAGTTTAGGAGATCTCTCTTGTTCCAGGCAAACAGAAACATTGGAGCTTGGGATTAATGGAATCAGTTAATCAAATTTACTTCCATGATCTTGTCCTTGTGCTGCCCCCAAGCCTGGGAGAAGGGGTGTACTGGGCTCCTCAACCATTAATGTAGTTTCTGGAGGAATTTTTGTTTACTGAGAACATTCAGCTTCCTTCTCCCTCTCAGCTTCTAGATGCAAATAGGAGACATCCTGGTGTTAAGATGACCAAGTTTCCAGAAACAGTATTAGCTGTTTTCAAATGAATGACCAAATTGCCCATGATTTAGCATGGTGTGTAATTCTGGAGTTCTATGCAAAGCAGGATGAGGTAAGAATTAGTTTCTTAACCAGAAGAGGAAAGCCACTAAAGGATGAGGCCCATACATGATGCATTGTTTGAATGACTTAGTTTCAGTGACTTGAAGACACTTACTAGGTAGTTGGCTCATATAGACCTGAGGAAGGGCAAGTTTGAGCCAGTGACCCTGCAGAGAGGCAACATTCTATTAACATGAAGTGCCTTCCGTGTACAAAGCAGCCAGGAGATAAAAGTGCTCCATTCTGGTCTTCCAGGATGTCCTGAGAGTAACAGTTAAGCCCCTAGACTCTGGCTTTGTCACTTATCTGTATGACCTTGGACAAGTTTCTACCCTTGGGCCTCAGTTTCCTTGTCTGTAAATTGGGGATAATAATGAAACTTATCTCACAGAGCTGTGAGGATAAATGAGTTAAGAGTGGGACATAATAAGTGCCTAATAACTAGCTAGAATTATTTGGGTTGTTGGGGAGACACAAATATTAATTATTAACTATTACAGCAAAATGAATGCTAAGCCAGAATCACAAATAAATATGTGATAAATTTTGAGCAGGGGAAGGTTTCTTGATGTGGAAAGAGTTGTGGAGATAGGGGAGCAGCAGATGTTAGGATAGTATGGGCTGAGCCCAAAGCTTGAGTGAGGAAAGGGCTGAAAAGGTATCAGGACTAGAGGATGGAAAACGGGCCTGCTGGGGTCAGGGAATGAATGGGAGGTGAGCAGCTAGGATAGGGTGAGGTGGTGAAGGGGCCAAACCAAGAGGCATGGGCAGAGGAGGGGCTCTCAACATTTTTGAGATGGAAAACCTCAGTTGGGTCCATCTTACCAGCTGGGTCCATGAGATACATTATCTGTCCTGAGTCTTAGTTCTCTGATCTGTGAAATGGAGAAACAATAGGATGGGCCTCTCAGTAGTGTTGCATAGATTAAATGAGATAATGAGTGCAAAATGTGTGGAACTATAAACTGTCCAATAGGAAGTTAGCTGATGTGACAACAAGTTTTGTTAATATCCAATATTTTGTTGCCTGCAGTAAGGACAACTATTTGCCAACCTGATTTCTCATAAATGTATCTAGAAAAGAGTCAGCCGTGCTAGTTAGGAAATAAGGCCTTTCCCAGCCTGTCTGTAGCCTTTCACTGTGTGAGTAAGGGCAGGTTACTAAATTGTCTCTTTACTACTGAGGATCTGTCATTTACAAAACAGATGGAGTGGACAGATTATGTATTTTTTGAAGTGTTGGTCTCAGATCCATGCAGCTTTAAGTCCCTTTTGTGCTGGATCCATTTGCAGGTCTCCAGCTGTGGAACAAACCCCCAGAAACCCAGATCAACATTGTCCTTCTGAAGGCTTATCAGAAACAAAGTAACTCTGAAGTTAAATCAGTTAGTTGACTGATGTTATTTATTCCTGACTCACAGTGGCTGGTGGGACCCAGGAGCAAGTATGGACTTGCAAGTGAATTTGTCTTCTCGCCTCATCCCATTCTGTTCCCTTTTCTTTTGGCCTCTCCCAAGGATTCTTCAGAAGGGATTGAGTATAGTATCCCTTCAAAAGTATTCTTGGTGTTTTACCTGGCTCTGAGTCCACATCTTCTAGTAGTAACAGATGTGTGAACATGGAGCAGTCTGTCTTCCTTTTTTTTTTTTACATCATTTTTATTATGGAGAGTGTCACAGGCAGAGTACTTGTCACCTGGCCTAGCAACCATTAATCTGTGGCAGCCCTGCCCATCCACCCCCAACAAATGATTTTGAAGCAAATCTCACATATCATACTATTTCAACCATAAATTTCTCAGAAAGTGCCTTTAATAATAAAGACCAAAATGCATGATCACACCGTATTAACATAGTATTCGCATTGCCAGTTGTCTCATAAATTCATACTTTATTTTTTCAGTTTGCAGAATCAGGTCCACCTGATGTCCACACATTGTAATTATGGACATGTCTTTCAAGTCTGTTTTAATTTATACATTTCCCCTCCATCTTTTTTCCATGTCCTTACAAGTTAACTGTTGAGAGATGGGGAACTTGCTTTGGACAGTTTCTGGCAATCTAGAGTTTGGAAAAGGCATCGCTGTAGTGTCTCTCATCCTTAGGCCCCTATATCTTCTCTAAATGGGTTTTTGGATCTGTAGCTGCACTGTCCAGTATGGTAGCTATAGTCACATGTGATGATTTAAATTTAAAGTAAGTAAAATTAAAAATTAAGTTCCCCATTGATGAGTAGAATTTCAAGTGGATAATAGCCATGTGTGACTAGTGGCCACTATTCTGGACAGTATAGGTTAGAACATTAACATCATCACAGTAAATTCTACTGGACAACACTGCCCTAGGTGCTTGATCAGGTTTTTTTTAGCTAAAATGTTTCACAGTGGGGGATATCTGTTTCCATCAAGAGGCACATAGTGCTTGGTTGTTTCTTTGTGATGTTAGCAGATCTTGATGCTCAGGGTCTATATATTTTAGATTAGTAGGGGTTGCTAAACAGTAGTATTCTAATTCTGTCCTTCATTTATTAGCCATCATTTTATATAGACACTTACCCTCACCTGCTATTTGGTTTCCCAATGAGACAGGATATTCATTGAGGAAAGGCACAATAAGATTCCCTTTATTTACCAGTTTCCAAGATAATCAGTTGGTTTACCAGAATTCCATAGTGATGGCCAGTTAGTTTATTTTTAAGTATTGTTGTGAATCATGTGGACTTAAGTAGTAAACACCCATTTGATATTTGAAAGGGAACATAAACTCCATCCCTAACTCCTTGCCTATTGTCTTCTGTCTCCCAAGACAGAATTGGGTGCTTCTCTCCCCTGCCCCCGTTGTAACCTACTAACCATCTCCCTGGCTGTGCAGCTGACTGATCAGACTTGACTCCAGAACTAGCAAAGGTAGGGACATTCCTACTGGGCTTGTATCCCCAGCACCTGGTACAGTTAATGCCTGACTCATAGGAGGACAGAAATCAACATAAAGAACTACAGTCAGGAAAGAAGGAGTCAAGAGCCCCCAAATGTAAATGACAGTATTTGGAGGAAAACAGGAAGCAAGAAGAAAAGGGAGATGTGGGAAAATGTTTGGAATTGATGCTCAAAAACAGATGAATTATTAAAAGGGGGAAAAGATAGGAGAACAATGTGTTAAATGCACCAGCCTTTAATTTGAATCTAGGTGAAGGGGTTTTTATTGTTGGACAGGATAGCACCAGTTAGGTTGCAAACAAAGGAATCCACTGTAGCTTAAGC